CCTCCCCACCTTCAAATCCCACCTAAAGACCTTCCTTTTTGATCGTGCTTACGGTCACCTCCCCTTTCCCTCCCTCTCCTCTTGGTTTGGGATCAGACTCCACCACTGTCAAGCCCTCCGGGATGCTATCGCGGGTGAAGGGTGCAAGTTGTTGTTCCCTTTCTTACCATCTCTTTTTTCTCTCTCTTTTTTTTCCCCTCTCTGCCTCTTCTCTTTCTACCTTACGAACAGTTTCACCGCTGATGTTTCACCACCATCACCACCGTACCTGGATTCCCATCTTCAGTTGGCATCCACGCCATCAAATCGCCATTATATTGCTTGTCTTCTTCAGCGAAGAGTTGGGAGACAGACGTCTGCGATCTCAATCCATTTGCATTACCGGAAGAGAACAGACTCAGAACTACAGCACGGAAAAAGATCGGGCAGCAGGATGACATTGGTTTAAGTCCTCTTGCGGGCTAAGACAGGTGGGATTTGGAGGCTTCTGGAGACCTTAAATGAAGTCAAAGGAGAGACTGAGGCAAGGTTAGCATTGCGTGTGGGCATGCTTGATGTTTTGCCCGCAAAATATACAGTACATTCTGTCAAGCGCTTTGAGACGTCTCAAAGACGTGATAAGGCGCTATATCAAATGCAAGGAGTATTATTATACTTGCTGCTGCTATTTTCTGGCCACCCCCCCCACCCTCACCTCACGCACTACCCTCCCCTCCGCCTAGTTCGGGGGTCCAACCCCAGCTTTGTGAAGTACGTCGATACATCACGCGAAGGGCGCTATGTAAAGAGTAAGGGAGAAAATTAAAGTGTCTGTCTCCGGTTAAGAACTTAAACCAAAGGCCAGATAGCACTGCCTCACCACGGAGGTATTTTGATTCACAGTTGGGTATCTGCAGAAGCCAATTCAGGTTAATGGTGCGTCAAAAGATCGGTACGTCAGCTTTCAGATTAATCCCTATTTAACAATCCAAATCAATAAACACTGGGTTCATCACCATCTGGGCACATTGCGACTTGAGCTTCACTGCTGTCTTTGCAACGTCTCCACAGATCAGGACTGAAGAAAAGATTGCCTTTGAATGGTGTGAAAAACACTGTGAATGTCAATCTCACCGCGAATGTATCGAGAGGGAGGGAGGGAGGGAGGGAGGGAAAGAAAGAAAGAATTCCTGCTTCCCATCTTGCTCAGGTCTCCCCTTGCTCTTTAGAAAGCTCTTCGGGGTTGTATCCCACATGGAAAGCCACTTTACTAGTGCACGTGGTTGATTACTTGATTAGAACGCCATCTTATCTTACACTGAAGTGTCTCAAAGTGCTTCACAAGTTATTACCGGCGGGTTTGATAGGCAGACGTGCGGAACACTTGGTACACAGTGGCCAAACTGACTCATCTGTGCGTGTGTGTCTCTGAAGTACCTAAACAGGAGAGGCCATTCCTGTGAATAGTCTGACCTGAGGGGAGGAACGAGATTACAATTCGTTCACATCAAAGTAATCTGCTGAACCTACAAACGCCCTCACAAGTACCTCACGTCAAAGCGCTTCACGGAATGTATTGTAAAGTGAATTGATCGCGTATTTTTGTGGGCGAAACGCGGCGGCCAATTGATGACCCCACAAACAGCCGTGAAGCGAACGATCAATATCACCCGGTGTCGGCTCAAACCCACGCTCGTCGGGTGTCAAACGACCAAGCTGTGGCCGAATAAATGAACGGTCGGCCCGGACGCGGGGAGAGAGAGAAACTCTCTTCTCTTTTCGAGCGGAGACGGGATCTCGGTTTAACGTCTCACCCCAAGGAAAAGCATCTCGACGGTGAGACACCCTCCCCTCCCACCTCCCCGACTCAGTGTCTAAAGCGCTGTAACACAATACACCATTACGTTTGCGAGAGCGCCTCTCGCATCGGGAGGACGTCCCAAGGCGCTGACAATGTGATAATAATGTGAGTTCATACGCTCTGCGGTGTATCCTGTGAAGCCCCTCGAGCCGTCCCGTCGACGTGAATGCACGGTATCAAATGTAAGAATTATTATACTTGAGATTCTTCTGATCGAGATGCTGATCCCAACATTGCCCGTGACTGTCTGACCAGCCTTGGTAACGCTGGCTCATGGCCCCACCATGTGGCCATCAGGGGGATATTCCCCTCTTTCCTCCCACTGCTTGTCCAGCGAGGACTACCCTACGCCTAATAATCCTCGCATTTGACACAGCGCCTGATCACGTCTTCGAGACGTCTCAAAAAGCGCTTCGCGGGACGTGCTGTGAATTGGAGTGACTGCATATTTTGGGGGCAGCCAACTGCACACAGCCGTGTCCCACAAACAGTCGTGGATTGAGTGACCAAATTATTATTATTATTATTATTATTTTTGAGGGATCATTAGGCTTGCAGGGTTAACAGGAGCTGAGTGTGAATAATAATAATAATCCTTGCATTTGATATAGCACCTTATCACGTCTTCAAGACTTCTCAAAGCGCTTCACAGAATACACTGTAAAGTGTAGTGACTGTGTATTTTGCAGGCAAACTCCCCGCCCCCAGAGACTGGTCTGTCCCTCCAAGTCCTGCCGATGAGTCAGGCTGTCTGGTGGGTGATCAGCAGTGCCCTGGAGGTACTGTGGACCTGTCTGGCTCAGAAGCTGGACTATCGAGAACATCGCAGATGGCTGAGTCCATTCCGACGTGCCGTTGCCAAACACATCACCTTGGTGCCAATTCATCTGGGTGAATGGGTACCTGCCCACAGCTCGGGCTCACGTCCCTGCCCCATTGAGCGATGGCTCCACCCGTTGGGAGGTGCGGAGCTTAAGCAGCAGCTACTTATATATCTCTCTGCAAACCAATCAAGATGGATTCCAAGTCCTGGACATACGAACGCATCGGGATGCTACCCCACGCGAGGTGAGCTCTATAAATGCAAGTTGTTGTTGTTGTTGTTGTTGTTGCATGTCATCCCCCCCACCCCTCCCCCCCCCACCCAAGCCTCGATTCAACAGACATCTGCCTTCAGCACGGTCGAGGAATCAACGTTAAGTCTAATTTGCCAAATTCTGGAGGCTCTGAAAACGCGGCATAAATAAAGAGTAAACCTAGAGCCGGATAGAATTTTTCTGCGCGCGAGAAAGGGGTTTACAGGCTTCAATCGCACCCCCACCCCCCCATTCTTTCCCAAACACTTCGGCAGGGGTCTTGGGTCAGACCCGCTGACCCCACCTCTGCCTGGGATGGGCGCGGGCGAGGATGGGGGGAGAAGGGGGCTCGATCACAGGCTCCGCACTGCGGAGACCTCAAGAGTTTAATTCAACTGGAAACATCTTCCCGCCATTGGATAGAGGTGTGCTCCAAATCGACCTGATTTGGTCCCGGGGTAGAGTCCTGGAGCTCTGGTCTGACAACGAGGTGTAGCGGAAGGGGACGAGGGACAAATGGTAGACCGGAGCCTCCTGTTTGTCCCTTGTGCCAAACAGTAAAAGCTGGCCTGACTGACGGCGAGGCTACACTGCCAATAAACCTCGTCCCAGCTTCTCTCAGGAGAACGCTCTCTTGGCTCCAACGCTGAAAAGCCATTTCCTTGGCCGCAGTGTTGGCGTGTGTCAGGCGAACGTGAGCTGGGTCTTTCCTCCACGGGGCAACCACAAATAAACGGGCTTAATTTATGCTGGAAATAGGTGGAATAAGGGCGCCCGGCTGTCTGCACTCAGGCTCTCCCCAGGAGAAGGTTTTTTGGCCCAAATCCAAAAGCCTGGAAGGTTAGCGTTAAGGCCAAGGTTCGATGTAAAAAGGGAAACCTTGGCGAGAGTTGTGGCTGGGATGGAAATCAGGAGCGAGCGAGGACATCTGCCTTCAATACCACGAGAGCTACGATACAAAATTGCATTTGTGAAGCGCCTTTCATGTCGGGAGGATGGCCCAAGGCGCTGAGCTGCCAAGGGATTAGGGATCAGGCGAGGGTGGAGGGTGGGGGTAAAGAGGACGGTCGAAGAGGAGCAGGAGGATCTTGAGACGTGCCTTGATGGAGGTAAGCGAGGGAGCGAGGCGAAGGGAACGTGGGGTGGAGTTCCAGAGGGTGAGGGGGGGGGCAGAGAGGCTGAATAACGGGGGGAAGGGAATTACGCACGTTGACGCGGGAGAGCGAAGCACAGAGGGAACGAAGGCAGTAACGAACGGGGTATCTCTGCGCCTGTTCGTGTCGACGTCTCTCTCTCTCTCTCTTCACAGTGTCCCCGTGGTCAAAGCCTTTCGACAACGTTTCCTCTGCGACCGACGCTAGTTCCCCCCGGAATCCCGTCCCCGCTCCAGCGGCTCCGCTCTCGATCGGCCGCAGCTTCCCTCGATCCCTCCTTGCTACCTGCCGCGTTCAGGAGTTGCACGTTTTGGTTTTTTTTTCTCCGGCAAGAAAAAAGACGTTACCGTCCACAGCGATGAGCCACCAAGTCGATTCGAGATGTTTCAGCGTCACGTCACACTGATGAGAAGCGCGCACAGACTTACAATACGCACAGACTTACAATACGCACACGCACTTACAATACGCACAGACTTACAATACGCACACGCACTTACACTTCGCACACACACACTTACAATGCGCACATGCACACACACACTTACAATACGCACACTTACAATACGCGCGCGCACTTACAATTAGCACACGCACACATACAATACGCACACACTTACAATACGCACACGCACTTACAATACGCGCACACACACACACACACACACAGAAATCCAGGAGAAACCCCTTTTCCCTATTTGAATAGCGCTCTTGAAAATCCACCTGAACAGGCAGATGGAACCTCGGTTTAGCACCTCATCCGAAGGTCGTTGCCTCTAACAACGCCTCTAACAATCCCCCCATCCCGCCCACCCCCCCCAGCACCACACAGAGACGTCAGCTTAGACCGTACGAGTTCGACAAGTCCTGACGGGTGTAGGTGAGGGGGTTACCCACATCACCAGGAAGCTTCCGATAAAACATTCCTGTCCTTATTTTTTTTTAATTTATTTGAAAACGCAGCGCATTTTTGGAAAGGTTTTGTTGGTGTAAAATAAAGGATTGAAGCAGCAGGAAAATCAGGATCAAAGGGTACTGGGGGGTGTGGGGGGCGGTGGGGGGAGCCGTCAAAGGTCACGAGAGCTGCTGGAGGACTTGTCTCGCACGTCGGCACTTTGTCACCAAATCTTCACCGGGTTCTTCTGTTCCGGTCAAAACATGGGGGGGAGGGAGTGGGAGAGAGGGGAGAGGGGAGGAAAAAGGAGGAGAGAGAGAGAAAGGAGCGATTAGGTCTTTATTTTACACACTTCAAAATAAGTTGCAGATAAATATATAACGATAATAATTCTTGCCTCCATGGGATGTACTGCATAGTGTAGTGACTGTGTATATTGTGGACGAAACGCGGCAGCCAGCACGCACACAGCAGCACCCTGCAAGTAGCCATGACACGAGTGACCGAATTTTATTGGGGGGGGGGGTGGATTTGGGTGAAACACGGCAGCGAGTTTGCGCACGGCAATGGAGCGATATTTTCAATAAAAAAGTATTAAGAGTGCATGTCATCGCGGACTGACACACACACACACATACACACATACATACACACACGCATACAGACATACACACACAGACACACGCGCGCACACACAGACACATGCACACACACAGACACACGCACACACACACACAGACACACACACAGACACACGCACCTGTGGTTCCCGATTCCTTCATCAGAGCCTCTGCTTTCTGAACAGTGACTTGTCGAGCGTTGCCTTTCAGCCCGTCTAGATACTCCAGCAACTGATCAAAATACTTATCGGGGACCTAGTGTTGACCAGAAAACAGCGGAATTAGATCAATAATAATCCTTGCGTTTGACACAGCGCCTTATCACAACATTGAGACGTCTCAAAGCGCTTCACAGGACACGCTGTAAAGTGAATCGTCTGTGTGTTTCACGGGCGAAACGCAGCAGCCAATTGCGCTCAGCGGCGTCCCCACAAACACAAGTGGATTGAGCGTGAGTCGAGCATTGGTCGCGGACGGAGAACAGGGAGTCAACTTGATGGGAGACATGTGACTCAAACATGAGGGAGAGGGGAAGGGATAGGTGTGTGTGTGGCGAGAGAGAGAGAGAGAGAGAGAGGAGAGATCCGCCTGTTCGGGTGGAGGCGCTCCTCGGGACGTGATTAGACGAGAGTTGTTATTATTCCTGTGATTACAGCAATCCCTGGCGCTGAACACAAAGCGATCGAGGAGACGTCTCAGACCTCCCTGGTGGCGAATGAAAGGGAAACGAACGATAACTACAGGGGTTGCGGCAGCTGGTAATTACAGTGGGAGCCAGACACCAAGCCAGGTTTGGACACGAAAAGGTGGGATCAAGGTAATTACTTCTAAAGCCTCTCGCAGAGTTTACGGCTGGATTAATATGAAGAGAAAGCAGTGTCTCCCGCCATCTATCTCCTAACTTTGTGCGAGTGGCCAGAATGGGATTATAAAGCCCCTGAGATGGCGTTAAGGCTCAATTACTCCAACGCTCTCTACCCAACTCTTCCTTACGCAAGCTGCAGAACGGTCAGAAGTCTGCAGCTGGTGTCCTTTCGTGCACAAAGTGCTTATCGCCCCTCTCCTCAACAACAACAAGATTCCATTTATAAAGCGCCTTTCACGTCAGGAGGACGTCCCAAGGCGCTGCACAGTTGGGTCAGGACCCGAGCAGGGGGAAATGGTCAGGGTGAGGGGAGGGAAGGGAGGGAGCGAGGAGGGGGAAATGGTCAGGGTGAGGGGAGGGAAGGGAGGGAGCGAGGAGAGGGGAGATGGTCAGGGTGAGGGGAGGGAAGGGAGGGAGCGAGGAGGGGGAAGAGAGTCGAGAGGGGAGCTGAAGGCTCGGTCAAAGAGAAAGGTTTTGAGACCGGCCTTGAAGGAGGAGAGGGAGGAAGCGGCGAAGGCACTGGGGGATAGAGTTCCAGAACCTCGGGGCTGAGAGGCTGAAGGCCCGACCACCGATGGTAGGGCGGTTGGGGCGGGGGACGTGGAGCAGACCGGAGCCAGAGGAACGGAGGGTACGGGCAGGTAGGTAGGGGGATAGTAGGTCGGAGAGGTAGGAGGGAGCAAGGCCGTGAATGGCTTTGTAGGTGAGGATGAGGATCTCCTCGCCCGGCTTTGTTGATTCACCGTTCCCCCCGCGCCCCCCCCCCCAATCTGCGGAGAACCTCCGGCTCGCCCCCTCCGTCGCTTCGTGTCAAAGTCAGGGTCATTTCGAGACCTTTCTCTTCCACCACGTCTTCGGTCACTGTTCCCCTCCCCACCCTGCTCGGCTCCCACCCACAGCTCGGGTGCTGAACCAGCGCTGTCCGGGCACTTGGGATGTCCTCCCGATGTGGCAGGCACCGTGTAAATGTAGATTTGTATTTTATTATGCTGTATAAAGGCTCAGAGAAAAGATCGCTTTCACGTTCTAATAATAATAATAATCCTTGCATTTGATATAGCGACTTATCACATCGTTGAGACGTCTCAAAGCGCTTCACACAATACATTGCAAAGGGTATGTTTTGTGGGCGAAACGTGGCAGCCAATTGCGCACAGCAGTGTCCCACAAACAGTTATCACACACACAGTGTAACACACATATACCACACACGTACGTACAGACACTCAACTTGCTCAACGTCACAGATAGCTTTTGTTTAACGGCTTAAGATGAAGCGAGAGGCACAGCCCGTCCTTTGATCTCTGTGTGTGATTTTGTAAATCCTGAGGCCTCTTCCGAGAGAGGAAAAAGCTCCTTTGCTAATGAGATTCCCAATGTGACCGAGAGACAAAAGCCCCTTTATGGAACCTCGCTTCCAAGCCGTCATTGGCCCGAACCACAAACTGCGGGAATTCTCAGAGAGGAGACCTTTGAAGCGGTTCCAACTCGGGCAGGATCTTCCCCCTGCGATGTCTCCGCCGTGAGATTTCTCACGATTTGTTCCCTTCCCTCGGCCATCCCGGGCCTGATACACGAGTTCCACCCCCCCCGCCCCCCCCCCCCCCCCGTCTCCCTCCCCTCATCTCCCCCTCAATCGGTGGCTGAGCTTTCAGCCATTCTGCCCCACTCGCTCTCTGAAACTCCAACCTGGAGTCCCTCTGACTCGCTCTGTTCCCCCATCACCTCGTCCAAGACGTTACCTCTTTGAATGGGCTTTTAGTCATCATTGCTCTCCTCTCTCCTCGCCTCACTCCCACCCCTAACGCAGGTACTGAGACATCCTCCCAAAGCCAAAGGCATCTGGTAAACAATATTATTAATAATAATGATCGTTGCAGTTGATATGGCGCCTTATCATGTCGTTGAGACTTCTCAATGCACTTCACAAGATATATTGTACAGTGGAGTGACTGTGTGTTTTGTGGGCAAAACAAATGCAAATTGTATTGCATTTATAATAATCCTTGCGTTCGATACAGTGCCTTTCACATCGCTTTCTTCAAGCCCTGTCTCAAGACCCTCCTCTTCGACCGCGCCTTCGATCACCCTCCTACCCCTCCCCACCCTCCTACCCTCCCTCCTACCACTCCCCTCCCTCGTACCCCTCCCTCCCTCGTACCCCTCCCCTCCCTCGTACCTCTCCCCTCCGCACCCTCCCACCCCTACCCTCTTCACCCTCCTACACCTCCCCTCCCCACCCTCCACCCCAACCCTCCTACCACTCCCCTCCCTCGTACCCCTCCCCTCCTTCGTACCCCTCCCCTCCCTCGTACCCCTCCCCTCCCTCGTACCTCTCCCCTCCGCACCCTCCCACCCCTACCCTCTTCACCCTCCTACACCTACCCTCCCCACCCTCATACCCCTACCCTCCCCACCCTCCTACACCTATCCTCCCCACCCTCCTACCCCTAACCTCCCCACACTCCCCTCCCCACCCTCCTAGCCCTACCCTCCTCACCCTCCTACACCTCCCCTCCCCACCCTCCCACCCCAACCCTCCTACCACTCTCCTTCACACTCTCCTACACCTACCCTCCCCACCCTCATACCCCTACCCTCCCCACCCTCCTACACCTATCCTCCCCACCCTCCTACCCTCCACTCCCCACCCTCGGACCCCTCCCCTCCCCAACCTCCCACCCTTACCCTCCCCACCCTCCTACCCCTACCCTCCCCACCCTCCTACCCCTACCCTCCCCTGCCCTCCACCCCCTCCTGATCCCAACCACCAGCTCGGGTGTGGATCCCTGACTGTCCAGCGCCTCGGGACGTCCTCCCGACGTGAAAGACGCTGTGTAAATGTCATGTGTTGTTGGGAGCGTTTACTGTAAAGCGTGGTGACTGTGGGCTCGGTCTGTGAGGCTGTTGGTAGGATGTGTTTCCTTATTGATCCTGTACCTTGTCACAATCGTACATGTTCTGCAGGAGCCAGGTCTGCCTCGTCTTTTGAAACCTCCACTCCTCGCGTTTTGTGGCCCACCTGCGACAATGGGGACGGTTTTACTGAGATTAACAAGAACCGAAACGTGGACAAAAGTTTCTCTCTCTCTCGCTCTCTCTCTCTCATTGAATCTTGGATCAACGTTCAAAGACGATGATGTTAATAATAATTTGCGCATTTGACTCGACTCAGTGCCAAAACCGTTGCGAAGGGCTCGAAACAGCTTCACAGAGTTTGTATCGTCAATGTATCTCGGCAGCCAGGCCACCCTCACACACACCCTCACACACACACACACACACACGATTGCCCCCTCCCCACCCCCCACACAGACACACAAACATACACACACACACACACATACACATACATACACATGATTCCCCCCGCCCACACACACACACACACTCACACTTCCCTCCCCCACCCCCCCATCCCATACCTCATGCCTGCTGGCTAACACTATACAAACAAAGATCTAGTTGCTAACAGAATGTGAACCAGATGACTGTTTAATTAACGGCAAGAATGTAACGAGAATCAAAGAGCTGCAAGGAAAGCAGAGGTTGGGTGTGTGTGGTGGGGGGGGGGGCTGGGAGTTGGGATAGGAGATGTGGGGGGAGCAAAGTACTGCGACAGGAACCAGTTGCTCCTCCATGTAACTTGGCTTTATTATTGATTAGGTTATTTAATTACTGCAGTAACGGCCGGGGAAGGTCCCTGAGCAGTGAGAGCAAGCAGTGAGCTCAACCCTAAGCCGTTCCATCCTCACACCGCAGCGCAGGAGTGTTAGGGGGAGGAGTGTTACCTCACTGTGACAGGTGGGCAGCCCAGGTATGCAGCCTGGCTCCAGCTGCAACACTCCCCCCACCCCCCCAAGTCGAGTCAGAAGGTTGCGGGTTCAAGCCCCTGCGTCACGAGTTCCAAGGTGACGCTCCAACGACAATCTAATAACCCTTGGGTTTGGTTACCGGGTCTCAAGGGGATATCAAGCGATTTGCCGATCGACTAGTAACCGGGTTCCTACTCACTGCTCGGGTAAACAGAGGTGTGCGGAGTGAGGACAACTCGTGGAAGGTTTCGCCCTTCAATCATAATGTTAATTCTAATATTATTGGGGTGAAGACCAGGTGCGATTTGTGCCCACGAGAGGGGGTTCAGCTGTTACCTGCTCAGATACTGCAGTGCCAGGTCTAAAGCCAAAGGCCTCTCGGGTATCTCCTTCTTCGGGACCGGTAACCCGGCTTCTCTCAGCAACCTCTTTTCTACTTTCTTCCTCTCTTTCTTCAGCTTCCTTTCGATCTTTCGCTTCTCTTCGGGAGTGAGTTCCTCCTCCTCTGCCCCCTCGACCGGCTGATCCTCAGCCCCTTTCGCACCTCCTTCCTCGGCGTGCTGCAAAAAAAACCAAAAGGGCGCGAATCCATCAACCGGTCAGTTACGTCATACTCAACTGGTTGCCGCGTTTCGCCCACAAAATACACAGTCACTCCACTTTGCAGTGTATCCTGTGAAGCATTTTGAGATGTCTCAACGATGTGATAAGGCGCTGTATCAAATGTAAGCTTCATTATTATTATTATTATTATTACTATTATTATTAAGCAGAAATCCATTTCATCCGAATCCAACAGCAGATGACACTATTATTTTATGACTAGAAACTCGGGAGGCAATTGGATTCACGACTAGTCAGTGCCTTGTTCCCATTGAGGCACATAGTTACTGGGCACGTCAGCGGTAATACAGACACTCACACCACTGCATATTAACATGGGCCACCCATTACCAGCGCACAGTGGGGGACAGAGGTCGAGTGGAGGTATTTTACGTCCGTGAGCCAGTATTGTGTGGAAGTTACGTGGGGTGGGTGGGTGGGGGGGGTGAGGCGGAATAAGAGAGGTTGCCATAGGCCAGAGGGAAAGGGGGGATAGTCTGCCTATAATTCTCCAGTAAAAAGAGGCTGGGAAGGTGGGGGTAGGCGATGTTTGCTCACAATAAAGTGCTGGGGGTGGGGGAAAAAACCTTTAACATTGAAAGCTCGGAATGTCTCCTCCATTAGCAACCAGAGGACAAAGCATTGCCTTGGCGAGGGGACTATTGTGGTGTGTTTTTATTAACCACGGTCCAACTCATCCTTTGTGAAAGCAAATAAAAGAAAAAAAGCTAGTTTTTTTTTTCGCGCTGCTTTGGAGACCAGCAGAATGTCTGTCACATTCTATTACCTTCTGACGCTGATTTCTGTTAACTTTCCAGGTTTTAGCGAGAGACAGAGAGGGAGAGAGGGAGGGAGAGAGAGAGAGAGAAGAGAAGAGATGGGGGAGAGAGAGAGAGAGAGAGAGAGAGAAAGAGCGAGCAAGAAGAGAAGGGGGAGAGAGAGAGAGAGAGAGAATAGAGAGGGGAGAGAGAGGGGGAGAGAGAGAGAGAGAGAATAGAGAGGGGAGAGAGAGGGGGAGAGAGAGAGAGAGGACCGACTGCACTCTCTATAAGCTACGGGGTTTTAGCTGGTTAGACACAAGCCCCATTGCATACGCACACTCCAAAAGTCCCCAAGCCATAACTCTTGCCACCCTGCGCCTAATACTTTCTGGAATTCGCTAAGCAGGATGCGATCCCCCCACCCCCTAGGGTAGCACCCCAGAGCACCTAACAGTCTCGGAGCACAACGCCAACCTAGAAGGAGGTGACCGAAGAGGAGGGATTGAAGTTGGGGAAGGAAGGAGGCAAAGAGGAGGGATAGAGGAAGAGTGTTCCAGGGTTTCGGGGCGCAGTGGCTGAAAGCGCGGACGTCGATGGTGGAACGGAGGGCGCGAGGGACACACAGGAGGCTGGAGCCAGTCGAGCAGACAGCGAGTTGGGGGTTGGGGGGGGGGGTCAGTTGGTCGGAGAGGTAGGGAGGTGTCTACACTTAGATTCAGGACCTGAGGTGGGGAGGGGGAGGAGATAGAGGGAGTGGGTGGGTGGGTGGGTGGGTGGGTGAGTGAGTGAGTGAGTGAGTGAGTGAGAGGGAAACGAGAGAGAGAAAAAAATAGCAGAGGAAAGTAAGACAGTGATTACTGAGCTTGTAGTCGCCATCCAGATTGAATCTGGTTAGAGGTTATGAGTGAAAGCAGAACCCGACTGATGACTAGCAGATGACTGGCGAGCCTCCCTGGCAGAAATACATCGCAGGAAATCTTGAAACATATATTTTCTTACACACTCATACACACACACACATACTCACACACACACATTTCCATTTCCAACTGCACATTGTATGACAGTAACCAGACCTGGAGAGAATGAGCCAAACACGAGTGAAACATCTCAGCCTCCGCTCCAGGGGGTTAATTACAGTGACGATACCCCTCCTCCCCCTAGCTGTGACACCCCACCCAGCTGCCACCGTGCCTCCCACCCAACACTAACCCCACCTTTAGATACAGCTACCCCAGGACACGCTGTAATTCTTCCAATTTCCAATTCTTCGATTCTCCCTCTCTTTATTTTGAACACCAACATGTTCGGCGCTTATAATAACAATAGTAACCATTACATTTGATCCAGCCATCACAAATGACATTTATTCAGGGCCTTTCACTTCAGGAGGACGTCCAAAGGCGTTGGACAGTTAAGGGTTTGCACCCGAGCTGGGGTTGGGAGTCGAGAGGGTTGGTTGGAGCGTAGGGGGAGTAGGGATTGTCAACAAAATACAGAGTCAATCCACTGTACAGTACCGTATATAATAATAATAATAATACTTGCATTTGATGTGGTGCCTTAGCATGTCTTCAAGATGTCTCAAAGCACTTCACAAAATACACTGTAAAGTAAATTATATGCTTTGTGGATGTAATGCGGCAGCCAATTGCGCACAGCAACGTCCCACAAACAGTCGAGGATTGAGTGACCAAGTTATTATTATTATTATTTTTTGAAGGGATTATTACCCCTGGAAAAGCGATCCGCCAATCGACTAACAACTGGGTTCCTACTTACTGCTGGGTAAACAGAGGCGTGTGGAGTAAGGAAACTTGCCCAACGTTTCACCCTGCCTGGGAATTGAACCCAGGTCCTCTCGCTTGTGAGAGGAGTGCTCTAACCAGAGCTAAGCCTAAAAACCCAAACCCGGTTGCTCAAGCACAGATGGTGGAAAACTGGCCTGACAGTTCACCGCCAACTATGGCTCGAGCATCTCCACAGCTACCGCCGTTCTTTGACACGTGCGAAAACAGCCTTCTACTACAACATCATCTTGGAGGCTAAAACAATCCTAACATTCTTTTTTCCACCATCTATTACCTTACATAAACTTACTGGTCACACAGCTCCTCCTCTGCCCACTACTGGCTGATGTCATCTCCTCTGGATCAGTCCCTGCCCCCTCAAAACTGCTGTCATCACTCCCCTCCTCAAAAAACCCTCCCTAGATCCCTCAAACCCCAGCCATTACCGCCCTATTTCTAACCTGCCCTTCCTCGCAAAAGTCCTAAAACGTGTTGTTGCAAACAAACTTCGCGCTCACCTCTCCTCCACTCCCTCTTCGAACCCCTCCAGTCCGGTTTCCGCCCACCGTACAGAGACTGCGCTTGTGAAAGTCACAAACGACTTCCTCTCTATCTGTGACCAGGTCTCCCTCTGCCTCCTTGTCCTCCTGGACCTCTCCGCCGCGTTCGATACAGTCAATCACACCATCCTCCTCCACCGCCTTTCCTCCGTCATCCACCTCAGTGGGACCGCACTCGCCTGGTTCGAGTCCTACCTCACAAACCGCCAGCAGTACATCTGCACAAACGGCTTCTCCTCCCGCTCTCACCCGGTCACCTGTGGGGTACCCCAAGGATTCATCCTTGGCCCCCTCCTCTTTCTGACCTATATGCTCCCTCCTGGGGATGTCATCCACAGACATGGGGTACACTTCCACATGTATGCGGACGACACCCAACTCTATTTTTCCACCTCACTTTGCGACCCCCAGTCCCCTGATGTTCGTCAGCTGCCTGTCAGACCTCAGGGCCTGGATGAGCGCAAATTTCCTTCAGCTGAACGTTGACAAGAGGGAAGCCATACTCTTTGGCTCTCATCAACGTCTAAAATCTCACGGCTCTCACCGTGAGACCTCCCCCTAAAACTCTCCGAACTCGTACGCAACCTAGGCATCAGGTTCAACCCCCAATTATCCTTCCTCCCCCACATCCGGTCTCTCACCAGCTTTTTCTTCCACCTCTGACGCATCGCTCGTCTCCGCCAATACCTCACTCCAAACGCCACTGAAACCCTGGTCCATGCCTTTGTCACCTCTCGGCTGGACTGTTCTAACGCCCTCCTCTCCGGTCTCCCCTCCACTACCATCCATACCTGCATTCTCACCCGTACCAAACTCCGCTCCCCGATCACCCCAGTCCTTGCCAGACTGCACTGGCTGCCTGTCCCAGAGAGGATCAATTTCAAGATCCTCACCCTCGTCTTCAAATCCCTGCACTCCTCTGCACCCCCTACCTCTCTGACCTCTTCTCTCCTCAGCACAGTACACGTTGCCTTCGTTCCTCCGGGTCTGGCCTCCTCTTTGTCCCCCGAGTTGTCCACTCCAGCATCGGCGGTCGTGCTTTCAGCCACTATGCCCCGAGGCTCTGGAACTCCCTTCCTCACTCCCTTTGCCTCGCTCCCTCTCTTCCTATTTTCAGGTCTCGGCTGAAGACCTTTCTTTTCGACCGCGCCTTTGGTTCCTTCCTCCCCCTCCCCCCGGCTCGGCCCCGGGACCCGTTACTGTGAAGCGCTCTGAGACGCCGCCCGGCGTGGAGGGCGCTATATAAATCCAAGTTGTTGTTGTTGTTGTTGTAAGCTACAGGACTCCACTAAGTTCTATCCTGTGAAGCGCTTTGAGATGTCTCAACGACTTGATAAGGCTCTATATCATATGCAAGATTATTATGGTTCCACCAAATTTAACAAAGCATCTAACAGATAACCTGAAAATCACACCACCCACACATACACCGACACACGTACAATCTATCCAAAAAAAAGTTTCTGAAACACATTGAGGCCGAAAGATAAATAAAAAAACAAACTCCGGAGGACCAAAGCTTGCTTCGCTCAATCAGTGAGATCTTGTTCGTGTACCTGCACAAGGTAAATATTATGTGAAAGAGGGAGGGAGAGGGAGTTTAAAGAGACAGGGGGAGAGTTGAGAGAGAGAGGGGGGAGAGTTGAGAGAGAGAGAGAGAGAGAGAGAGAGAGGTGGAGAGTTGAGATGAGAGAGAGAGTTTCAAGGGAGTTCAGAGAGAGAGTTCAAGGAGTTTAGAGGTGGGCGGGGGAGAGAGAGAGAGACTTGCTCTGCGATGTGACCACATTGCGGATAGAACGTTAAGTTGTTTGCTTAACATTACACCTTCCTTCAGCGCTGACTTGTCAGTGTGCCACAGACAGACACGGGGCTGCGGGAGGAATGCAGTAGGACCTAGAGCTGGGATTATTAACTTTTTTTTCACAAAAAAAGGCTCAAAAAGCAGTGGAAATAATTGAGATTTTTATTTCATATACATATATATATAAACGTTGCAGCTTTGGAATCCAGAAACAATCTGAAGTTTTCTGAGCTGATTAATTCTCTCTCTCTTTATTCTCCAACAATTTATGCTGTTGCTGCTAATAACTGTGAATGAACCACACTTCCAACCCTACCCTCGCGCCCCCCACCGGCCCTCCCATTGCCTTTTTGTGGAGACAGACACTCTCTGGGCTTGCAAAACAGGAAAGAAAAAGAGGCACCATTTACTTTTGAGTACGTGGGTATCTCTGCGTGGGGTAGACAGGAGGAAAGAAGAAGGGAGATGACATGAGATTTCCAGGAATAACAAAGGGGCAGAGGATGGCGATGAAGTAACAGGAATCAACATGGAAACTCCTGTGGGAATCTGCTGTGAGTCGACCACAAAAAGAGAGACAGAGACACACTCACACAGAGAAAGCAAGCCTGGCTCACACCAGCTCTGAACACACACAGAAACACAGCCGCACAGCGACCTGGCATCACACAGAAAGCATAAGGAGTATTGTGATTGACCGGCTGACTACTTATCATCTATCTACAAAACTACCTTTCAGACTGAGGTGAGTGTTTTCTAAAATATTTTAATTTCTCTCTCTGCCTATCCTCCCTCTCTCTCTCTCTCTCTCTCTCCCTCTCTCTCTCTCACACACACACAGACACGGCAAACAGCTGAAACGGGAGGAAAGCATGTTATTTTTATATAATAATAATAATTAATACGAATAAATAAAATAATATAATCAAACAACAATAATAATTACTGTTATTGTTTGATTATATTATTTTTTATTAATTATTATTATAATGATTATTGTTATTGCTATTGAATTTAAAGGGAAAAAAACATAGTTAGTGTGTCTCGATATGGCACATGCCCAAACACCTGCCCTCCACAGCTAACTTTTGGCTGATAGTTTATAAAAGTTCAGTGCGTGCCTTCTCTCTCTCTCTCTCTCTTTCCTCCCACCCCAAAACAAAATCTAGGTCCACGTGTTTCTCCAGCTCTCCTCATCTTGGGACGTCCTCCCAACATGAAATTATATGAATGCAATTTGCTGTGTTGCTTTTGTTGTTGTTGAAGACAAGCAATTAACTTCCTGGCCCTCTCCCCCACTCCACACACTAAATACTAAAGGATTTTGTGTCAGTTTTCTCCAGTCTTTGGATATTTAATTCAATTCCGGGGCTGTGGTTTGTATCGGAGATGGAAATGCTGCCGTAAATACTCGGTGAGTGGTTTACAACAACAACAACAACAAGATTCCATTTATTGAGCGCCTTTCACGTCGGGAGGACGTCCCAAGGTGCTGTTTAGTCTTGACGTAGAGGGTTAAACCTGTGAAATCACTGCATTGTGTCCCGAGGGTTTAAACAAAATACTTAAGATGCCGTTTGATTCAGATCTAGGAGAAGTTAAAATATTTTCTTGGAGGAGGAGGGGGGAAGAGGAGGGGGGAACCTCCTTCCCTGATGTACGTTCTCTAGATTACAAGAATAAAGGGTGGAAACGGGTTGGATTGTAACTTGTACAAAAACAACTGCGGGTTGGAATATATCACACAGCTCGCTCGTTCACTCACCCACCCGAACAGGCATGTGTTTGTGGGGCCACTGCCTGCAGCTCAGTAACTTCTCCAGCTCTGCTTCCTTCCTTCCTCCTCGCATTGAGTTATGCCTTACGTTCTTGTCCTTGTGCCACAGCAAAAAGGGACAGGGAACTAAAACAGCGTCACCTCCGCCCCCCCCCCCCCCCCCCCCCCCCCGCACCGCCCCCTCACCGAGCCACTATGTGAATCCCCAACAACGATGACGACAACAACAACAACAAAATTACATGTGTATAGCGCTTTTCACGTCGGGAGGACATTCAAAGGCGCAGGACAGATAGTTACGGACCCGAGCTGGGGGGAAGCGGGTTGGGGGGGGGAAACAGGGAGATCGAAAGCACGGTCGAAGAGGAGGGTCTTGAGATGGATTTTGAAGGAAGTGAGGGAGGGGGCAAGGCGGAGGCACTTTGGGATGGAGTTCCAGAGGGTGGGTGCAGAGTGGCAGAAGGCCCGTCCGTCAATGAGTATAAACATCGGCAGGGACTAGTTGGACCTGTTCCGGTGCTGTTAACATTCCACAGTAAACTCCTGATCATTCGACATCCCGCTCGCCACGACCACTTTGTGCCATCAACATCCCGGACGCATTTCTCTACGTGCCTAACTGGCACTCCTGATAACTCGTCACTGAGACCCCTTCCCTGGGAGTGACGAGTTATAAGTTTATTCAATGTGAATTCTACGAAAAACCTCCCCTTTCGCGGGTCGCGCTCAAATAATAACGATCCTCGCGTTCGATACAGCGCCTTTTCACGTCAGGAGGACGTCCCAAAGCGCTTCACAGGATTTAATGTAGCGTGTAGTGGCTGTGCGTCTTGGAGCTGAATGAGCCAGAGCCAGCTCTGCGCTGTGTTGCGAGGTTTCGATTGGCCTGATTATTAGCGAGGGGAGTATTTATTGTTATAAAACAACTTCCAAGGATTTCGCCCGTCACATATCGCTTACCTATTTCCTGAAATTGTTATTGAAACACCAAGCTGCGTTGCAACAGGTTTATTCCTATTATGTAATAGCAGCCCACTCACTGCTTCCTTTTTAAGCCTGTCTGAAACCCTATCTTTCTGACCAGGCTTTCCGTCCATGTTCCATTTGCTTTCTGTCACCTTGGCTTCTTCTCCTGTACAAGTGTATAGCACCCTGGACAGTCAGGGGGTTTGGGATCCGAGCTGGGCGTTAGGGTCAGGAGGGGTGGAGGGTTGGGAGGGTAGCTGAAGGCACGGTCGAAGAGGAAGACCTTTAAGGGACTTGAAGAAGGCAAGTGCGGGGGTGAGGTGGAGGGATTGATACAGCGCCTTATCACTTTGAGACGTCTCAAATAATAATAATAATCCTTGCATTTGATATAGCGCTTTTCACGTCGGGAGGACGTCCCAAAGCGCTTCACAGAACACACTGTAAAGTGAATTGACTGTATATTTGTGGGCGAACGCGGCAGCCAATTGCGCACAGCAATGTCCCACAAACAGTCGTAGATCAAAGCGCTCCACAGGAGTTGTGGATTGACTGTCTATTTTGTGGGCGAAACGCGACAGCCAATTGCACACAGCAGTGTCCCACAAACAGTTGTGGATTGAGGGGTTCAGTGACCTACTCCTGTTCCTAAGTTCCAACGTTCAACATACATTTTCTTACACCACCCACTGGCAATAGAAAGCTTTCCAAAAGCACAAAGAGTTTATTGACGTCCGTCCTGGGCTGTGACTGTTCGCACTGCTCTCCCCAGCCCAATTTCCAAGGCTGGAATCCGAAATTCTACACGCAAGGATACCAAAGTCATTTTCTCTCATATGGCAATGATTTTGCCAAGGATCTAAAATTGTTTTTCCGTGGTTTAACGATCCAAGGGTCAGGAATGGACAGAAACAGGAAAAAAAACTCCACTGTTTCCCATCTCCCGATCTCAGGAAAGTTATGGATTTTACATGCAATGTGTTTGGTCTTAAAATATCACATATATATTCTATATATATAAATAAATAATATTTACATAATATAAATATAAAAGTATATATAAATATATTTATTATAAATAAATATATACGTGAAAGGCGCTATACAAATGTAATCTTGTTGTTGTTGCATTTGATTCAGTGCCTTATCACATCTCGAAGAGCATTAGGAATTTTTTTTACTACCAAGTGTAGTGACTGTGTTTCTGTAGGCGTACACGGCAGGCAATTTGCACTGAGCAACGTCCTGAAAACAGCAATGAAGTGAACAACTGATATTTGGTCAGGACATGTGTGTTAATGATAGATTTTGTGGTAGGTGGGTGGGGGGGGGTGAAATTCCATGGGGTAAAAAAAAATATTTTCACCTGAATTTAGGCACAGAATAAAGGGAGAAATAGAAGAAAAGTGACCACTATTTTTATATCTACATACATACATATAAAAAGCTGCAAATACTTTTCAAAGCGCTCTAATATGAAACATCCTCTGAGTTGCTGTTAACATTGATCAAAAACATGCGTGATACTGCAAAATTCCCTCCTCCCCTCACACATCGCCTCTGGAACACGTTATAGGGAGTTGGATCTGTACAGGAGACAGACAGACCCACAGCACCTCGATAATGGCGGTGGAGAAATGTTTGAGAGAGAGAGGGTGTAGTTAGGGTGTTCCTGTTCAGCGATTAGCGCAAAGCGCCCGGAGCTATCTCGCCGTTCTGGATACCGTAAACACACGCGTGTGTTCTCCTCTCTTTTTCCTGGAAACATTCCCCTCTGGAATTCCATCCTGGAGTCCCTCCGGCTCACTCTCTCGCGCTCTCTCGCTCGTGCTCTAATTGCTCTCTTTCAAGGCACGTCTCAAAACCTGGTCATCCTTCCCGTGGCTCACACCTTCGGCTCCCGCACTGTTAACACACTTCGAGACGTTCTCCCGACATGAAAGGGGGGACATAATCATACATTTATATTGTGTGTGTATATATATATATCTACTGTATACAAAAAAAACTCAACCCACAGGTCTGGAGGAAGAAAACGCCGGCTTAAGTTTCTTGAGAGCAACCGTACACTGGCACTTTGTCCCAGAGACTGTAGCAAGCTCCAGAATTAAGAAAGTTTAATCACAACGAGGGCAGAGGCGGCACTGAACGGTTCGGGTCCCGCAAATAACCCTCTCTGGGGGCTCCTGCAATTTCCTATCGAGGCTGAACTCACACTGTATGCTTATTGTACGTTTGGCGGAGAGATCACCTTACGCAACGCCAGCATTGGAACGAATGTCTGTGTTGAGCCAACACAAACTCTCTCTGCAGTTTAGATGCTTGTTGAGCAAAGGGGAGGACGTGGGGGTGTTGGTGGAGTTTGGAGCTGCACAGCATAGCCAGACCATGAACTCTTAAAACAACTTGTGGGTCAGCCCGGCTCAGTCAGTCAGTCATTCAGTCAGTCAGTAACGCCTTCTCACCTCCAACTGGGACTTGAAACTCTCCTACAGTCTGGTCTGAGCTGACCCTCCGATGCAGAATGCAGGGCTGGGGAACGTACTGCAATGTCAGAGGTGGGTGAGATATTAATCCGAGGTCCCTCCTACTTTATTGGATGGTGGGGAGGGAGGCGGTAGGGGTTGTATAAAAGATCCCAGGACCCCAGTCGAAAACAGAAGGGGGTCTCTCCCTGCGACCCAGCCACCAGTCCTCCACATAAGATGGCCATCCACTTCATGGCTCTGAAGTGAGTGGCCTTGGCTACCAATAGAGACAGTTGCTTCAACTTCCTTTTGAAGCGATTCAAGACATTGGGAACGTTCAAGGTCTTGTATCAGTTCGAGACTCACCTCAGCACACTAGACACACACACACACACTCATTTACATTGGCGACCATGTAAAATCTCACGACAATCTGTAGGAGGTAAACCGTGTATGTCACTGCCTTAACTCTGGGACGCTCTCAATGTAAACTGATGCCGAATTATATTATTAATATTATAATGATAATCATAA